AGTATAACTTGTGAGTAAATAATCGCATCGGTATGGATATAATAAAAGTTTTAGAGTGTTAATAGTGGAAATGATCTACCAGTCACTATGGATGAGTTGAATACTCTGCTAGCAGTCAATGAAGCATTTAATGAAACTTTACAGAATTTGATCCGGCGTGTTACATTAGCTATATCTAAGAATCGTGAAGCACAAGTAAATTTTCTCGTATTTTTTGTAAGATTTTCCTCTTCATGAATTCTTTTCATACTCCTAGAAATATTTTTGCAGAAATTGTCAAAAGCTAAGTTGCGGCAAACAGCAGAACGTGGATTACGAATTAATATAAAGAAAGTGCCAGTTTCACGGTTTTTATTCCCATATTTTCGCGATTCTCATGAAATGGTAAACGAATAACAAAGCTTTGTTCAATGTTATTCTGAAATATATAGATCTTTGCTAGGGTGTTTATTAAGTAATAAATGAATTACTTCAATTTGTCGCTAGGACATTTAATAACTAAAAAATGAGCTGTCTCCATCGAGATAAAAGCGGATATACGACGTGACTTTTGCTTTGTTTTATAACTGAAAAAAAAAAGTGCTATTAAATGTTCAGTATAATAAGTCCACAGCATGCTCTTAAAAATTGACAGTTATTACTTGGGCGATTCGAGATTTTAAACTAAGATTTGAAATATTCAAATTTGAAGGAACCACCAAAAAATGGCGAATATGAGCTAAAGGTTTTTCGTCGAGAATACGACCCTTTGGTAAAAGAAGAGAAGAAATGTAAGCATTTGATTAAAGTTGTCGAAAGAGTAAACATTGCTGTTCATTTAATTACTGGACAAAGAACATTTTAGTAGCGTGAAGCAGTGCGAGGCTTCTCATGCAGATATTGTCACTGAATTACAGGGTCAGCGAAGGAATGTCAGTTATTGGCAAACGCAGTGTGGAAGTCTTTAATCGAAATCCGCATTCAACCTTTCATTCAGAGGTCTTTTTTCATGATTAATCATTGAAATGACCATTTATTACCTGATTGTTTTCGTTTTTTTCCTTTTTTTCCATGAATGCATAAGAAAAAGTGTAACCAAAATTGAAACCACTTTTCCACACATTCATCAGTTTGTTGATTCAAAAGCATCTCATGGAAATGCTGGTCAGAGTAACAGATGGACTAAATAGATATTTTCATCACTCTGATGATACGAATATTAATTATGACAACCGTCCTAATGTTTTCTGTTGAAGGAAAGAAATGTTTACCGAAAAGATTCGCGCAGCTGGTCAAGAAACATCAGCGGAACAGATAGCTGATTGGAATAGTACTATTGCTGAGATGGAACGTTTGATTGCATACCACAAGTAAGTTTTATATGATCTAGTAAAATTTGAATGTTGTTAAAGTAATGTCAATTACATAAATTAAGTAATGAATGGCAGAGAGTGTAGCTTAGTTCTTCAATGATAATTAAATTGATTTATTATTTGCAGAAATCTGCCAGAAAACGAAGTGTTACTGAGTGACTATTCTGAAGTGGACTGGGCGAAGATTGCTAAAGTTGATGTAAGACATTTAATTTATTCAATTCGACATAAGAAGAGAAGTACAAGATGCTATGTTTATTCATTCAGCACAGTATTTTTTTTTTAGTGATGGAACAATTGCATATATGAAACGGATGAAGTAGACTCACGATGTTGGTTGTAGACCTAGTAGTTGAGATCTCACGTTTTTAATCTGTAAATTCTTTATATGTGGATTTAGAGCAGGCACTAGTAGTAATTATTTATTGCAGTTCCTCGGAAATCGAACGCCAAGACAGCTACGATTGAAATGGATCAATGAACAATATCCACGATGGTCAAAGGAACCCTGGTCCTCTCACGAAATGCAACGTTTAAAAGAATGTGCAGGAAGGTGGAATAATTGGAATGTAATTGCGGAACGATTAGGCACGAATCGTACGGCTTTTCAGTGTTTCGTAAAATTCAGGAGTGAATTGGATATAGACAATGTTGGACGGTTTGTTTCATGATTTGATTACTTTTGATACTGGAATACTTCCAATACAAGAATCCGAGCTAAATTAAACGAAACGTTTTAACAGTTAGTCTGGGATTCGTTTAGGAATTTTGTGTGTAGCCATTTAAGTCTTCAGCATAATAGCATATCGGCAATCTTGCTGTGAATAAGAACTGGACAGCACCAATAAGTCGAGGCAATAACGATTAAATCAAATTGGTTTTCAATGAGCCAGTAATTCTTCAACCTCGTATTTAAACCAGTTATACTTAAATATTTCTAAGCAGAAATTACTTCTTATGCATTGTTTTCGAATTTTATTAAATTTTATATACAAAGCGTTACGTTGGAAATGCCCGTCAAACGCAGAAGAGGTCGAACTTCTCAAATCTTATGATAAGTCCGATCAAATCATTCCGAGTGTTATTTAACTTGAATCAATTCCTCCTTACGCTTGATCGATACTTCAGGTCATGGACGAAGGAGGAGGATGCCCAATTGATGACTTTGGCGCACTGCATGCAGGTGAATGGTAAAATGAATTGGGAGAAAAGTAAGCATCCAAATTTCGAATCTTTGGTCTAAATGACGAATTTTCGAATGAAGAATCTCGGATTTATATTTTGATTTTAATGTATCTATTATTTCAGTTGCTCATTACATGGAAGAAAGATCACGGCAGCAATGTACAATTCGATATAGGCGAGCGCTTGATACTGATATCAAATTTGGTCGATGGGATGCAAATGAGGATGTGGTAAGCAGATGGATACATTTCCAGTATCTTTCGTAGCTGTTATTATATGAAACTTTTGTTTTTCGTTAGTGTACTGTACTTTTTCGTAGTTCAAAAATTCGAAATTTTGTATACACTAAAGACATCTTGAAATTTAATTTAAGATTTCGAAATTTGATGTTTTAACTTCATTAATTTCAGCTTTTAACATGTTCCGTAAGTCGGTTTGGAACAAAAGACTGGATAAAAGTAGCATCATGTGTTCCGGGAAGAAGCGATTCGCAGTGCCGTGATAGGTTTGCCACTTTTCTTTGATGGAAATCTTGAAGGTTTACTGAATGTCTGGCAACTACTCTTCGTATTTCAGATGGGTAAATGTGTTGGATAAAAGTATTAAGGCGGAGCCGTGGTCAGTGGATGAGGATGAAAAATTACTTGAGGGAATAAGAATTTTCGGTAAAGGTTGGTAGAGTATTTTTAGAAATAAAGTTTGTCTTCCCGGTTTTTTTTTTTTTTTTGCGGCTCAGGTTATAGAAGAGAAGGGTTGCCAGATTTGTTTTTCAGGTGAATGGTCGAGAATTTCAACAATGCTCCCAGGTCGTTCTGCTTCGCATTGCAAATCACGCTTCCGATCACTTCTTTCAGCAAAAGTCAAGGTTTATCTTTTTATGATTTCGCTTTAATTTTTGTATCCTGCTTTTCATTTTTTTTAATAGTCATGTATTAGCTTTATTTTAGCTGGCTTCGGAGTGCCGCTCATATCCATTCAGACGTTTTAGCTGGAAAGGCAAACATCGCCGACAAGAAGTAATCAGTGTTTCCATGCTTAGCACCAAACTTCTGTTGGAAAGATTTATATATGTATATATTAATGGATGACTTCATTGGTTTGAGTTATATCTAAACATACTGAGACTTTGCAACATTTGCATTATTAAGGTCGAAGCAACATTCCGGAAGTTATTAGCAGCTGATGGTAAAGGAAGTTTGGCGGAACAAGTAATGAACTCATTTGATATGGTAGTTTTTTTCTTAACACTTTGATGAAAAAGATATTAATGATCTAGCTTAACCATAATTGTTGGTCAGACCTCAAATAATGCGTCGCTGAATTTAAACACTGAAATATGCTCTATCAAAGTTCTAGAAGTTCTAGAATAACTGTATAGCTTTCTGTTTATGTATAGATGTTTAATAAGAACTGTCTTTGACTGTTTATTCCGAGGCTGAGGACTATCTCGAAGAGTAGAGTTTTTTAGTTTATATACATCTTTGGGAAAGGAATTGATAAAATACCTTTTGATTTTCTAAACTTCATTTGGTGTATATAAATTAAAAAACTCTGAAGTAAGTCTGTTTCAGCGAGCATTAAGTGTCGATGAAATGGAGGCGTTATCTGCGATGGCACCTGAACAAAGAATAACGGTAATGCAGTTTCTTAATGAAGTTCGTGAAAAACATCTGGATAATGATGTGAAGGATAATCAGTCGATTTGGAAATTGCTGAGCGATAAATTGCAATTCAATACTAAGTAGGAGTTATTAACAATAACCAAACGAAACTAATAAGAAACAATTACATGCACTGCAGCTGGTGAATAATGCGAAATTTTGATACAGACAAGAAAATAAGATGATTATTGAAGAAATTGAAGTTTCCCAGTATAGATAAGCATAATCGAAATTGATTTCTATAACTGACTGTGCCTGTGTGGTTGCATTTTGCATTTCGAAATTTAATTTGTGAAAGTTGGAGGGAATAGAGTGTTACAAAAATTGGAATATTCCCTTCCAGTTTTCTTACTGTTTACTTTTTTAGTTACTTGGATAGTTCAACACAAAGTGCCTTGCTAAAGTATTACAAGAGATTCCTTGGCGGAAGCACTAATGAACTTTTAACCCGTTATGAAAAAAATGAATTCGACACGAGATGCAGAGTTTTGGAAGAAACTGATCCAGAGGTTGCTTAATTTTTCTCTTTCTTTGTCAGCAGTAACGGTGTTATTATAATCTCATCAAGGATAATCCGCTTATTGTCGTCTGGTCTCCATGATGGTTAATATCGCTTCCAGAAGACTTTCAAAAACAAAAAACAAACTATTCCCAATCTTATTAGATTATTAGCTCGAAGCTTATGACCTCAGCTGGCAAAATTATTGTAGGTGCTTTCTGTTCGTGTTCTAAGGATTTTATAGGATGCATTCTGATCTGATATTCTATAATATCAACTGATTAACATCGGCTTTCGGTTGTATGATCGTAGGAATCATTTAACACTAATAGATTTTTGGTTTTCTGGGGGTGAATAACTTCGACATGACCTCTTTAACTGCAGGCTGCAAAAGATCACGTCATTAATGGGTTGTGTGATTTAATTGAACGGAATGATAATTCGCAGTGTTGTATGCATCAGAAGAAGTTTACCAGAAGTCAGGTTCTTGATGAAGTTGTTCGATACATAAATTCGGTTGGTCTATTATTAATTTTAGTTTTGTTATGTAAAATAAGTCAGTTGCTTGAGACAGTTGGCTTAATTTTTTTATTCCTCGTAGTGCATACATAGGGATCAGAAGAAGGTTTCCTCTTTTCAGTTGTTGAATCGTTCTCGTTTTAATGCAACTTTTTTTAGGTCCTTATCGGTGACATAAATAAAGCTGTATCTTGTGGCACTAATTCTTTTGCCATACCACCCTGCATTGGCTCACTACACTTACACGAAAATATTCAGGTGGGTAATTTATTGGAAAACATAAATATAAGCTATTGTATAGCTGAAATATCTAATAACTGAAATATCTTGTAAATAAATAATTCCTGTTATTATTGCAGAAGCAAATTCATTTGCTCCGAGAATCTGCTGGCGAATTCTTTGAACCGCTTGTTTCGGTATGTTTTCCCCTCGTTTTCTTTTTAGAATTTTATTCATTTCTCAAAATACATGCACCATTATTTCATTAAAGTGTAAAACATTCCAGGATCGAGACGATAATATATTTTTGCAACTTTCACGACAGATCACTTTGGACTCTGAATATGTCTTGCTTAAGGTTATTCTTTTGCACACTTTTATTCTTATTTAGTTGCTAGTTGACAGTTATAGATGACACTCTTCCACAACTTTAGCATTTCCAAGTGAGCACTTATAATACGTTTCAGGCAAAGTTGCGAACGTTACTCTTCTGGCCAATGCTTTTGTATAGGTCAATAGAGAATAAAGAATCAGTGGAGAGAAGGGAGTATTTACGTTCAGTTGCTACTTTGAAATTAGCAGAGCAACAAAAGCTAGCTTTAGAAAGCCTTAAGATACGACTTCAAAGTCAGCCACAGCCTCGCACAAATCTTCTAACACCGGAACAAACAGTGGCTCCAGAAAACGAGCTTGATGATGATTATGCCGCTGAATTGAGTGTTGGCGAATTTCTGAAGCAGCGGATGTATAAACGGGTCAGTTATTCTCAACATAGAAATAAAATTGGATAGTTCTTTTCGATATTCCGTAATTAACGAAAGATGATTCATCCACGAATTCGAGTTTCAAATCCACTTTCCAAATCCACTGGTTTCTGCATTAAATCGAATCTACTGAATATTGAAACGGAACATTCACATTTCTTTAGCATACTTTTAGTTCTAAATCTGGATATGAGTTGAATTTCAGCCACGAAGATACATTACTGATAAAAAAGTAGGACAGGAAGATATCTACGAAACCAGCGTTGTTGAACCGGATTCATCGGAAATCAGTGATGCGGTGAGCCATCGTATCGATGAATGTATTAAATCAGTTTGTAATGCTGTTCAGAAAATATACGAACGTGATTTTATGGTAAATTTTGAAATTTACAATAGAATAAACAGTTTTATCTTCATCATACATTTACAACTCATGAAGTATGACAAAATTATAACGAATGAGTCATCCTGAGAATAAGAAAGGATGATGACTGTTTTTCCTTGCTATTATTTAAATCATTCTTATGTATTTTAGATTCCCGCTGCTTGCAGAGTGACTGTCCAGCAATTGAACAAAAACAGTGAGTTTCAGTTTAAAACTTCGTTTCTGATAGTTTTACACCGTTTAAAGAAGTAAAGGGAATCAAATTTGTCATGATATCTTACTTGGTATCTTGTATTTGATCATATTTGGCGTTCTAGTTCCTGACAAACACATTGTGGAGGATGCAGTGAAGGATGCATTAGATGCTGTTATCGATGGAATTGCTAACGGAATCAGTGAAAGTGCCGAATTGTTACCGAAGAAGAAAGAACGGGCGAAGGACGTTGTAGATGGTGACAGTTCTGGATGGAATGAAGCTGTTTCAGAAATTCAAAAGCCTGAATCATCTATGGTGAAAACTGGTTCCAGAAAACGAAGTGCAGCCGCAGATGCTCCAAGTAGTAGTGGACAAGTTGGCAAGTCGAAGAGAGCTAGAAAACAAACAGATGTCAAATTACTGGAAAAGGATGATACGAAAAGAGGGAAGAAGAAATTTGCCAAAAGGCAAGATAGTAAAAGCTGATAATTCCGTTATTAAGCCATCTCATTTCTAAACAAGATGTTCGCCATTTAGATGTTGTAAAAGTTTTCCAGGTGGAATGAATATAATCATATTACGGGTGTGGGCAATGGTGTCCACTTACATCCTTTTCTCCAAAGAATTTCTGTTTGCTGAAATTTCTGAGTCCGAGAATGTTGCTATTCATTTCTCAAGGGTTCATGTTATGCTTTATTATGTATACTGTTGTTCTGCTTTATTCACTAATTTTTCATTTTATCGGTATTTTTAACAAAGTATCCATAAAGAAATATTTTTCATGAAGCAGAAGTAGCACAAAATTTAATTTTATCAAGGAAGACACTGAACAGAATTTTCTGGAATTTGATAGCTTACCAAAGGTTGATGTGGTCCAGAAATATCAGTCTTCTTTTTTCGTTTGTGATAAAAAGAGAGAGGATGATGATGGATGAATTGGTAATAAATTACTGTAGTGGGTCTCGGTTATCATAATACGTTCCACATTGTTGTATGTCGTAAGGAAGATTGCTGGAATCATTTGTTGAAGTGTAATGGATTAATGGTTCATTGATCCAAATTATATAACTATGGAGTAATCTTTAGGTATACTTGTATCACACAAACCATCCGTAATAATGTTTTTCATGATCTATTAAGTGAAAATATATATTATGATGTTTAATTTTGCTTCCTAACATTGATGTTACTTATATAAGGGATAAATTATGTAATGAATAATTACACTTTATATTAATGAGTAGAATTTGATTTATACTAGAGAATTAACATTTTATCTTTTGATCGCCAAATGACAACATATGCTAAGTGAGGTTTGTGCATAAGTTTGAGAAATAGTTGAGAAGAAAAAAAGAAAAGATTGGTAAAAAGTAAATAAAGAGTAGTGAAATGAAGTGAATTGCATGTGTCATACATTATTGTCATTCATCTCATCTTTCCAACAATATCATCCTCTAACAGTTATGTCATTGATGATTCAGCTAATCAACCAACCGGATAGTTTACTCAAATCAATTGGTTTATTTGCATTACTTCAATGAAAATTGCCTCTTTCCTATCAAATTTTTACTTTTTTCAAAAAAAAAGTCGTTTTGTTAAATTTTAACTTTTATAAAAATCTTATCGTCATTTAAACATTCAATATGTTTAGTCATAGGAATGCTTATAACAATTCTGATTAATTGAGTGGGACTAATTAAGCATCGAAATGATATTTGCTAATTAAGCTTTTTTTTTCGCCTCGTATGCTAAATGTTTCAACTACCAAGAGCACATAAATCACTTATAATGATAATAAATAATCTTTATTGATTGAAATTAAAAATAAATTTACATTTGTGATTTAAGAAGTTAACAAAGACGACCCAATTTTATTTACAAAAATTCCAATATAACAGAAGGAATTCGCCGTGGTGTTTTTTTTTCACAATTTCAATCATTTATAAAAGCAATCATTTCCAATTTTCCTTTCCAGTTTGATTGCAATCCTAGATAATTAATTAATTAGTTAATTGCTTAATTAACTGATTTAGCTATCATGTAATGTTACCATTTATATTCTATATTTGGAAAATTTCCTACCTTTCTGTTGCTATTCCATGTTAACAGCTTAATTAGATACCCAAATAGGAAGCAATACTCTTTCTATACGAAAAAATATTCCGGAAAATTGTTATTGAAAATCCATTACCAACCTTATATTAATTATAGATAATGGATCGTTACACTCATTCACCGAATGATTTTTCCGCAGGTTATGGAATTCCGTTTGTTAATGATTCCACTGCTTTTTATCGATCTACCCCAAAACATAATCCACTAACCAAAGTAAGAGATTAAGTCTTTGTCTTTTTTTTTCCGGTTGTTCAACCGGATCTTTTTTTTTCTTTATTTTGGAAATAAAAACTGAGATAACAAGACGGAATTAAAAAGATCATTTTGTCATAGCAAATTATTGATAATTAAGCTATTTTGCATTCTAATTAATTAAATTGCATATAGCAAGTTAATCAATTGGCATATGAAATACCGCACAGTAAATATGCAAAGAATCCATGGAGTTGTGCACCGGAATTTCTCAAAGTATTTGGTGATATTTGCGCACATATTGGACAACAAGCATGCTTTGATTGTATTTTACTTGGCTCACCACGACCACGAGTTTGTTTCACTTTTTAAATCATCATAACGATTGAATAGATCAATATCAAGATTACAGAAATAATTGCATGCATTCATGCATGTTGCAAATGGATGATGAAGTGCATACATGCATTAACAAGTATCATTCAGGAATAGCAATTAAAATTGAAAAAGAAATGATATCGATAGATACATTAGTTTTGCAACTCCATGATTACAAAAATCTCTACTACATGCATCTGTAATAACTTCAAATCAGTAGATACAATTGCATGCATTCATGCATTAATAAGATATTAGTAGAAATATGCAAACATCAATCATTAACTGGTAAATGAATGCATGTGCAGTTGACCTAACTTTCTCAAATCTTTGATTAAATGATCATTTCTGTCAGTTTTTCATAACTTCGAGGAAATCCATTTTTCTTTTTTTGCAATTACAGAAATTGAAACCTACATAGTGCAATATTTTGATAAGGTTTTAATTAATTAATCAGTTATCTAATTATTAATGTAATTAGCTTAAATTATTAATTGAATCATCTGATAAGATTAGAAAGTAATGTATGTTCAAGGTATGTTGGTTGTTTAACAACGAAAAAATGAAATTTGATGATGTTCAAGTCGATGATACGGCTGATTTATGTCGTTTAACGATACCTGTCATTCAGTGTTATCATTACGGTACTTATACGGTATTATGTGAAAATGAAGTTGGCCGAGCGATAGCTTCTGCTAATCTTTTGCCTATTTATAATTAAATGCATCATGGGAAGATATTTACCTTTTTACTTATTTGATTCTTTACATTACACTCATAAAATACTACTTAGCCGGAATGATTAGACGAATAACAGAGGTAAACTATATCCTTTTCTCCGTTTGTTATGAAATTATTTTCCGGAAATGTAAAATGCTTGAAAATTGAAACAAACAACTTTCCTGAAAGATTTCATAAAAGCTTACAAATGATAATGTATTTTTGAAAGTATGGGATAGTATCTAATTTCTATGATGTAATTAATATTGTGGACAAAGTTGCTGGAATTATGATCATTATTTGAAATTATAAAATAATTCTTTTCTAGCATAAAATACGCAAATTTGGTTAATGTTTGTATTCAAGGCGTAAATGTCGCAGTTTTTTATGTTTAAAAATATTGCTTGCATATAGTTTTAACGAAAAGAATTTGTATGATTTTATATTAACATTCTTTTATGTTTGAATTCAAAAACGAATATTTCAATTGGTTTATCCGCTACACCTTCAATCTTCATCAATTCATTCATTCATTATCAGATACGATTGTTGTAAAACTTGACCAATTGCCTTAGTCATTTAAAATTTCAATAAATTAATGAAAAAATCCCAAGACAGACATTTAAGTTCAGTTTTTACAATCGAGCAGACGATACATCCTCTTCGCTTATCCTTCGCGTATAAACCACAAACGACGACATCTTCACCTATTGTGCACCATTGCACAATATACTACGATATTCTTCTATTCGCTAAATACATCCCCGTAACATATCCTCAAGTCAGTGATCTATCAATTAACCGACAGTCAAATTATTGTTCAAAACAACGACAAGAAGTTTGTTAGTTGATTATATTACTTGCTTTTTCCAAATTATACCTGTATTTGTAAAGGTAGTAAATATTCCGCCTGAAAAGTAGCATAATTAAATAGTAATATGTATTTACGGGAAAATCTGGTTTGCGTACTTCTTCTCCATCTGCATCGTTGAATTTCTGAAATAAATAATTAAGGAAAAATTATAATCACAATTATTTGCATTATTTTGCAATGAATATTAATCTAGACTGGTGAAATATCCAATACATTTCATTAATTCAAATCCTAGAATTCAAAAAAAAAAAGAAAATGTCTGGTACATTTTGAGTGCAATAATAATTATGTCGAAGTTTTTATATAATTAAGCTTATTTTTGAATGAATGCTTGTTTGAAATTTCCTTGCAATTAAATTGATTAAAGGATATAATTCCCAATGTTTTGACTCTTTGTTTAGTGACCAATCTCAATTTCTTGATGTATATTTGATTGCATTTTGTTATTCGTTAATTGTTGTATCAAAATTATCATTGATCAGTTATATATTATCAGTACAATTTCAGATATTCCCTGAATTGTTTCAGTGGCCAGCAATAAAAATTTATTGATAACTATTTGAGTGACATATGTAAATGTCAACCAATTTATGCTTATCCAATCAAACTCAGCACAAGTAGGTGCTGCAAATTGTTTTGATTTTCTCAATGTTATTAAATTTTGGTTCTAAAAAAAGCTAAAATTTAAAATTGCTTACTTTTTTTTACAAATATAAATAAATTTCTTGTCGTCGAACAATTTCCTTACAAATTATCATTGCGTTTGCGATATGATTCAAAATCTATGTTATCATAAACGACGACAACCTGAAATTATTTCACTTGAGATAGACTGATGAATTGTAGCCAGTAAATTTTTATTGAAATGTTCCTTAAACTTTCCAATGTATCAGTTTTAATTACCTAAAATTATGAAGTATATTCGACCAATTAATTGCCTGTCTCATAGTTATAGTGTCGACATTAGTTGATAAAAATTGGTGAAACAAAGTTCCAATTAAATCGGTTATACATTAGTAACTATTGATAATAAATATTCAATCCTAACCTTATCAAATTCGTAAATGATTTCATTAACAAGTCGAAGATAGTTAAATTTCCGTAATTCATCCTATTGATCCCTAAAATTCCAAATAATTCAAATATCATACAAATATTCTCATTAGCATAAAATTATTCTTGTAAAGTAAAAGACTTTCAAGTCCCTTCCAGCTTAATTTTGATAAAACAATTAATCCTACTGATTAAAAGATAAGTTGAATAATCAGATAACAATATTGCGTAAATAATAGTTAAAGTACATTGGCATATGTGAATTATTAAATCATTAAAAATAAATATATATTATTTTTGTTTATTTTATCCGAAACATGTTTAATTAACGGGCCCTGATATCGATAGCTAATAAATTCTAAATATGAAAAATTTCATATTTAAATTTCAAAATCATTAAGTATCAATAAATAAGAATTGTTTACAGTATTGGTTGATTGATTGAGATTGAAATAATTTTGTGACTACATTCAATAGTAGCATACAGATGTTTACTGATATTTTCATCACGTAATGACGTTTTACACGCTGTTTCCACGTTACACTTGTGATTCTTCTAAAAGCTTTTCATTAAAATGTAACATTTTTGAAAAAGAGCATGAAAAAAGTAATTGATGATGATGGTTTGGAACTATTTGATTTCAAAAATAATTTTAATATGTATTATCATTGCATGTCTCTCTCTGTCCTTTCTCTCTTTTATCACCACAAAAAACAATGAAAAAATGTAAAATTGAAATTTAGGAATAAATTAAACGACTTATAAACAAGCAAATGAACAATATGAGTATCACTTCGAAAATGAGATACTTATCATCTAATATACTGCAACTAAAATTTATCTGCTTTCATGATTCCCAATTTATTTCATGGGTGATTTAATGATAGACTTAATTATATGATATTATATACCAAAATTAGAAATCATACAGATACATGTAAGCACAAGAAAAGTGTCAAAGTGTCAACTTATTGTCAATTGATGAAGATGTGTTGAAGTGATTAAAAGCATTTGATAAAACACTTTCACACATGTAAACAAGAAAATTTAAAAATTTTTTACAAATAAAAGGTAAAATACGAAATGAGTTAAAAGTGATTTTGGCAAAATTGCGAGTATCTATCATTTTGTTTTGAGTACTTTCAAAAATTGGAAATGAAAGAAAAACAAAAGTGATAAAATGAAACGGAGGAAATCATTAAAAACTAAAATTATTTAATAGATGTATAAATTATGATGCAACAAAAAGATGAAAGTTAAATTCACTTACCATCATCCTAAACTTCATCCTTTTTTTTCAACAAACTTTATTTTTAGCAATTTAAATTTAATTCAATAAATTGAGTTTGTAAACCAGGAAAAGGACAAATAAATGATACTTGCTAGATTGCCATATAAGTTGACAAAATTTCATCGTTTACAATTATGCATAAAAGTTAAAAGATGTACCATTAAATGTAATCAATCATAAAGTTCGATAAAGTTAATTATACTATAAAATTAAGATTTATTACTAATGTATTGTTATTTTTTTCATTAGAAGGAAAAGGCAAATCATCAAGTCGATAATAAATAGTCTTTTTATAAAACATTTTTGTGAGGTTTTATTCCTTTCGAATGATCATTGATCTTAAGTTAAGGTCAATGATCATTGGAAACACAATAGTACATCGTTGGGTGAGCACAATTGCTATATTTACTCTTTAGTAGTTAAACAGAGATTGAAGAAGAAAATGCATCAGCTTTAGATCAATCCATTATTTGTTATCAAATTATCCTTCTCATAGGACAATAATGGTGATAGGGGTAATAGAAAGCGGTAGTACTTACAGTAAAAAGGAAGAGTCAGTGGAATAAATTAATGCATAAATATATGGTAATAATTGATAATAATGTTAATGATAATAACAATTAATAATGACAATAATAATAATAGTAATGATAACAATAATAATAATAATAGTAATAATAATAAAATTGCTAATTAGAATTAGCAATTAGAAATATCAATTGAAAATTAAATATTTTTGCAATGCAATCCTTTGAGTCATTTTAAAATGCTAATTGACTTATTAACCATGAGGAGATAAATTATCCATATTAAACTGGAACAAATGATGATTAAAATTAGTGAGATCATCGAAATGTTTATTTGCCCAATCCACAGCGATATGATAATTATATTCAAAGTTTCCTCACTCTAGCAGGTATTCCCAAGTGGAAAAATCGATGAATTGAAAAAGACATAGAAATCAGTATTTTAACGTTATTCTTTTTTTTTCTTCCTAGTACAGGTCCTTTCATTACCATATGATACGTCCAATGTCTAATCCCCCTGTCGCAGATTCTTTCT